TTATTTTTGCAAAATTATTTGATTTATCCGAGGAGCCTATTTGATTTATTGGTGGAGTATTATGTGATTTATTCGTGGATATTGTTTGATTTGTTCGATGAGGTATTATTTGATAAATTTGAGGAGAATTATTTGATTCGTTTGCGGAATTATGTGATTTATTCGAGGAGATTATTTGATATATTCATGAGGATTATTTGACTAATTTGCGAAGGATTATTGGATTTGGCTGAGGGGAATTATTTGACTCGTTCAAGGAAATATTTGATTTATTTATGAAAGATTATTTGATTTATCATGGAGCTTATTTGATTAATTCGTGAAGATTATGCGATTTTTCTGTGGAAATCATTTGACTTATTTGAGGCAATTATTTGATTTATTCGAGAAGGGATTACTTGATTTGCTCGAGTGATTATTTGATTTGTTCGTGAATATATTGGATTTGTTCGGGGATATACTTGATTTGAGCGTAGCTATTTGATTGGTCGCGATGATATTTAACTTGATCGTGAGATTATTTAAATTGGTCGTGATAATATTTGATTCGCTCGTGGAGATATAGGACTCATTCGTGGTAATATTTGATTTATTCGTCGAGGATTACTTGATTTGCTCGAGTGATTATTTGATTTGTTCGTGAATATATTTGATTTGTTCGGGGACATACTTGATTTGATCGAGGAATTATTTGATTTGATTGTGGATATATTCAATCTGAGCGTGGATACATTGGATTTGTTCGTTGATACATTTGATTGCAAGTAATGCGGGTCGTGGTTTCGACTGGAGGATGTTTGTGATTATGCTCATCGTGTGTTTGGTGCATTTACCGATGGACTCATGGAAATGTGGATCGTCATGTGAAAATGTGGATTTTGTTGAAATGGATTATTTGTAATTTTTAAGCATGTCATTTCTCGAGCATGTCTTAAATTAAGGAGATGGTGATTTTGGTATTTGATATCTTGCTTTTCTTTTTGGCGTGGAGAATTGCAAAATTGATAATTTGAATGTAATGTGGATAAATGATATCTCTCTGAATTCTGGTCGAGGAAACAACGAAATAACCCGAGTCTTGACGGGCTATGGCGGACGAGCTGTTGAGTGTCGAGGACAAAACGAACGAGCATAGATCCATTAAAGGTGGGTGATAAAGAAGGACGAGCCTGGATGATGTCGATCACTGGGGGCAATTTCAAAGGCAGAAATCATTCTATTTTGGAGAGGTAGGATAATGGGAAGTGATATTCAAGATCTTCAGGTATGAAATTAATCTCAACTTTTGTGTGCGGTCAAATTCGACCGACACAATTTTGTGGTACATTGAACATCTTGGCATTCTTTTTTGGAGGAATGTTCATTATTTGAATATCTTGAGCGAAATGTGGATGAGATTGTGGTGTGTATGGATATGTTTGGAATTATCATTCTAGTGACTAGCACATAATGTGAAAATGAGGTGTACGTGGAGCATCGAACAAAATCTGGCACGACTAAGGCTTTCGGGGTGGCCAGTTTCAAGTCATCATGACTAATGAGCTCGGTGTTGGGATTAATTCATCTAAATTTTCATTTGGTGCATCTGTTTGATGGTTGTTTGTAGCTGCAGAGTATGGTTTGTTGAAATTATTCGTTGAATTCATGGTTTTGTGAAATTCTGGTCGACCGCACCCTTGAAAAGATGTTTATGTGATTTCATATCGTGGTAGAGAGACTTGCATGTAGGTTGAGGTGTGGTATACAAGCATGCAGACCAATTTGATTGCTTTGATTTATTCACCTCTTGTTATTATTGCTATGGGGATTGCAAATTGGATGAAAGGGAGGTCGAAAATTATACTTGATTTATTTTGTTCGATATAACTATGCATTTGACGAGGCTAATGAGAATGATTGATTACTATTCTATCTCATGGTGTTTGGTGT